CTATGCATGTATGTAGAGATAATCTCCAGGTGCAATGTCAGTTTGCATTCAGTCCACGAGGCAAGGCAGCAATGAGACTGGCTATTTTTGTAAGGGACCTCAAGAACTCATCTGGTCCTATTGCTATGTCTTTAGGCAGGCACTTAACTATTTTCTCCTATTTTAAGCGTGATGGAGTTGTGTTCAAGTGGGTTAAGAGACTTCTTCAGACTCAGTTTCCCAGAGAATCAGTGCTTCCTCCTCAATACCTTGTGAGATCTCTCTTCTTGACCTTCCCCAGCTTCCTTGGGCTAGCATACTAGAATGCTTAAGGCTGACCGTGATCCAGTTCCAGCGAGCTTCCCAGGTTAATAAGGAACAACACACAGCTGTTCTTAAAGGAGAAGATTCCATTCTTTTGGGTTAATCTTTCAGTCATCAAGATTCGTTTTGGAGATAATTCAGTGTAAATATTTGGTGTTTGCCTGGATGAAGGCTGTCAACCTCAAAAATATTGACATTTTTGGCCAGATAATTTTTTGTTGTGAGAGGCTGTTTTATGTAACAGCGTCCCTGACCTCTAGTTAACTGGTCTCTGCCTAACTTCCGAGTACAACTTCCTCCGAACTTTTTTAGGTTAATCTTCCCAAACCATACCTCTAACTCAGTGGTTCTTAATGGAGAGCAATCCACCTTCTCTACCCCTGGGAACATTTGGCAATGTCTGTTAATATTTTTGGTTTCCACATCTCAGAAGTAGGGACAAGTTGTTAAAATCTAGCAGGTGGAAGCTAGAGTGCTACAATGCACAAGATAACCCTCCCCACCCTGCTCCCATGCAACAGAGAATGTTTTGGCCCAAAATGTCAATAGTGCCAAGGATGAGAAGCCTTGCCCTATCATATCATCTTCTAATCAGAAACTTTTCATTGTTCCCCACTGCTTGTGGGAAAGATGACAGATTTCATGGCCCCTCCTGGTCTATATTTAGTTCATTATTTGTCAACTACAGCACCTTTTCTGAAACAATACTGAATGGAGGGCTTTTTCTGAAACATGTATTTTGTTTTCTCACTTATATAACTTTGCTCACACACCAACCACTCCCAGTGCCTAGATGCTCACTTACCACTACTAAAGTCAAGTTGAAATGTTATCTTGTCTACAAAACCTTGCCTGAGCCTGAATTCTCCCAGCGACAAATAATTTCTCTTTCTCTGGATAGCCCTTTGGCATTTTACTCATATGCCTTTTAAAGCATTTATCACATTCATAGCAGAAAAAATTTGAATTAGAGGGGGGCTTTTAGAAATCTCTCCAGTAAAATTACTTTCATTTAGGGAAAAATAAAATTGAGACAAAAAGGTGAAGTGATTAGTTAAAGGCATATTTTCCCATAAAATTTGGATCAATTTTGTGACCTTGGCTCTACTCTCCTGGCATGGTTGAAATAAATAATCATGGACTTCCAGTCCTGGTATTCAAATCTCAACTCTGACACTTGAAAATTGCCAAAGTAATTTGCCTTTCTGAGACTCAGTTTCCTCAAATGTAAATGGAAATAATTATGGCTCTTGTGAGAATTAAATGAGATGGTATATTCAAAGTGTCTGGCACATAGTAGGTACTTAATAAATTTTTGTCAGATGAATGGAAGTATTAGCAGTGCTTCAAGGAATAGGTTTTAGGGATTGGAGATGGTTATGGGATTTTACTAAAGATTATTGGAGGTAAAAGGTGGTAGTTCATTGCCCCTGTTCCCTAATTTTACAGCCTTCTGTAGAAAACACAAGCTCTTCTATAGGCCACCAGAGAAGTGTCAGTTTTCTGTGGAGTAGGTGAATACTGACAGAAGTTCTTAACCTTGAAATGTAGTTTTTAGGAGGTAGGCTTTTCTTTCCATTTGCAATGCTAGTGATATAACCTCTCTGTTCCCTCAAGGAGCTAACAGGTAGGGTTGTGGGGAGAGGGTTGGATAGAAGATATATTCCCTCTATTTCTTTTGGATTTCTGTGTGGCAGCAGTCTGGGGCTTAAATGCTATTCATTGGCCTAATAAAACTTTCTGTGGAGAAAACTCTGAGTTCTTGGTGTTGACTCCTAGCCCAGTGATACCTGGTTATGACTTGATTTCAATAAGGTTTATTGACACCTTTCTAGTCAGTTTTCTACTCTGGAACTTCCCACTTTGTTGGCTTGCTTCCTGCTTCAGGCTTTTGGGTAATGGCATGCTATGCATTTATTCTTTTCATTTACAGAAGCAAGTCTTTCCCTGGTTCTAATAGAAATATCACTGCTACTCTAATGTGGATGATGACCTGACAGGCAAGTGAAGAAACAGAATTAGACCTCTGCTGCCTTGTCTAGACTAGATTGGGAGAATGGGAGAGAGGAGGACGTTGCCTTACAGTGGGCCTACCCCAGAGCTAGCTCCTGTCTACTCAGCCATATTAGCACAGGAGATTTGGGTTGTAGAGGATAAGGGAGAAGCTCAGGTGAGTGTATTACAAATTGATTTGGGAGCCCCCTCTTTAAAACTTACAGGTCAAAGGTCCTGTAAGAGGAAAATGGCTTTTGGGAAGATTAGAAAACCAGGAGAGGGTAGGGCACCAGATTAAGAGCAGAGAGTTGGTCTGGATTCCTGCCTCTACCTCTCTGCTCCTGAGAGCGTTCCTAGGATTGTCAACTGAACCTCACATTCCTCTCTGTGTAGTAGATGCAATAAAGCACGCAAGGCTTTCTCCCAAGGATGACAGAAGTTGAAGGTTTGTCTGTTTTTAGAGTTGTCAACTCTGTGAAATCTAAAGCATTAGATAAAACCTCATACTTTTAGTGAGTATGTGTCTAAGGGGAGGTGCCAAAAGATGCCTCAATATGGTATTCCTTAGTTTACGCTTTCCAGAGTTCCATCAAAATTATTCATGTTGAAGCCAATTTGTAGATAGGTGAATTTCTTTCTTTAAGAAGGCTTCTCTTTCAGATTCAACTCCTCTCTCTTAAAATTGCATTGTTTCCATAGCTATTATAGTCTGGCTTTTACCATGATTTTGGGCCGGGCCATGGAACATCAAGAAGTTATATGACTATCTCAGTCTATAGGTAAAATACTATTTCCTCTGAAGAACTAAGATTTGACACTTTCCATAGGAAAGGATAAGGGGTTCACTTGTTCATTTTAAGTACAGAAGAAAAAGTACACAATGCTAATGAGGGCCTCTGATAAGGGAATTTGACTTAGGGAGGTCAGAGAAGGCTTTACTAAGGAATTAATGATTGAACCAAGCTCTGTAATGTGATGGAACATTGACTAGTAGAAATATAATGGTGGGAAGTGTATGTGTACACGTGCACTTGAAGTAAGCAGAAGGTACAGAATGTGCATAGGCCTTATGGTAGTAAGGCCCATAGCACATTCCAGAAACAAATATTTTACAACTATAACTCGTTTTGTAACTTTAATTTAAAATTCAAGCCATAGTTTGGGGTGTTGAGGGTTGAAAATTCAAGTATACCCATCTTTGAAGTATTGTTAGGCTAAATCACACATACTGAGCACCCGCTGTTGAGAGAGCATAGGAGGCATTATCAAGAAATAAACAAATACACCTGCACTGTTGAGCCAACAATATGGTAGAGGGTAAATGGCAGATGAAAAATACGTGATATACAAATCTTCCTCCCAATGTTTTACCCAACACGTACACCCACATAAAGGGTGTATAGACAAATTCCTAGAGGACTACTTGGTTGAGGTGACTTGAGCCCCACATAGTGGTCCGAGGACAATATGCACTGGTGAATAAAAAAGATGTTGCTGGCAGGAGAGATAGCATGAATGAGGACTTGGTGTAGAAAGACTTTCTGAGGTGGGAAATTTGAGATAAACTAGCTTGGCCTGACTAGACAAGTAAAACAACCTAACCTGTGGCCATCTTAGACTCTATCTGACATGCCAACCAGTCAATTAAAAGAAGAAAAATTAAGGTTCACTGAGCACCATGTGAGCATAAATAATTTGTTATTAAAAAGTAAATTGTTACAAAGATCAGTCTTGGCATCCCCAACTGACTATGTTCATCCAAGACTGTGAGGTAAGTGAGGGTTGCTGCTTACCTCTTTTCCCAGGACTCCTCTGCAGTTTTGTAGCACTGGGCATCTATCCCAATTTCTGGAGTTCTGTTTCCTTCAGTACTTGATTTTTTACAGTTAGTTGTTACTCTGATCCCTGGTAAAATAATAGCTCTCCTATATTTGGGCATTGACATTTTCTGGGGGAAAATTCTCTGAAGAAAATTCTCTGAAAAAACACACAGTCCCAAATACTTCAAATGAAAGAATATACCTCTGATAGAGTATCAGGTGGTGGGGTAGATTTTTTGAGCAGATGACCTTTCCCATTTTCCTTCAAATTGAAACTACCTGCTTAGTAACTTGGCCTTATTTCCAATTTATATTTCCTCCCTGGATATTTTAAAACTAGGTTAGGATAGAGACATAGAGTAAGCTGCAAGAGATATGATTTTGCCTGTCACATCTTCTGATGATACAGGCTATAGTTCTTTGAAAACAATCCATACACTGTAGTGTATCAGTGTGGTAAAAAGTGTGGAGCGTGAGTCGAGATGAGCCAGGGTTTATATCCTGACTCTATGACTTTCTAGCTATATTGTTTTTCACTATTAACCTGTGTATTGATTGCTTCATGTATAAAAAAATAGGGATAATAAGAGTATCTGTCTCATACAGTTATTGTAATGATCAATGAGATGTATGTCTAAGGACCTTAGCCTAGTTCTTGACACTTTATCATTGTCTTATTATCATTGCCAAAAGCGTCATCACCACTACCACCACACACATCACCCCCAGGTTCCTACTGTAACAGAATAAAAATTTATAACCTCTTGCTAAAGCAAATACCATCCATCAGCAAAGGAGGAAAGGAGGACACAGGATTCCCAGTTGCATTCACTGCTTCCTACTCTTACTTTAACCCTCATGTCTCTATTCTTGTTTCTACAGGTACTTGTAGGCTTGGTTGGGCCTATTATTGTGCTGGAGGTGGAGCAGCTGCAGCCATGTTGATCTGTACCTGGCTCTCTTGCTTTGCTGGAAGAAACCCCAAGCCTGTTATGTTGGTGGAGAGCATCATGAGAAACACCAATTCTTATGCCATGGAGCTTGACTACTGCCTCAAGCCTTGAGCTTTGTCAGAAGGTTGGAGAGGGTGGGAAAGAAGAGGTAAGGGAGCCTTGAAAAGAGGTACTAAGGCTAAGGCAGTTGCCATCCACCTCTTAGCAGTGTAGCCTAGAGTTGCATGCTTTTAAACTCACCATTCATTTTCACTTTCCCTTAAGCCAGTGGGTCAGTGGCTACTTACAAAATTCATCAAGAAATATGATTTTCTCAAACCCCCAAGTCCCAAAGTACCCCTTTATGCAAAATAAGGAGAAGATCCTCACTTGAAAGGTAACTGCACAAGGCTAGGTAAGGACACTTGTGCAGGAAGGGACAAGGAGATGGACAGGGCTGGTTCCTGCCATTCCATTCTTGTGGCCCTCCCTCTGGTATCGATTGCTATCTATAGAATGCCACTGCTCAAATATTTGAGACTTTCTCAGGACTACACCTTGACTTCTTTCTCTTTTATCCTGCCTTTCTTCCTTTTCATTTGTGGAAAAGCTTGTGGAGAGGGTGATTCCCAGGAATGAAAACATTAACCAAGGTTAATTGCTTATAGTCTAAGACCCCTTCCTCATTATGCTTTAGAATATTCATAAGAGTTCAGTTTTTCTTTTGTCTGGGTGACTGACATCAACATATAGTGGCAAGTATTCTCTAGTCCTTTATAGATTCAGAAATGGTGTTCATTAAATGTTCTGAGCATAAAACAGCATTTGTTGTGCACTTAATAAACATGATTTGATGATCATGATGACAAGGATGTTTCTGCTGGCTCCTTATTGCAATTTCTGTCAGAATTCATTTTTATTGACTAGGAAATCCACAGTGGCCTTTTGGCCTTATAGTCATTCCCACCATGATATGTTTCTTAGCCTATTTCAAACACTGCTCATCAAATGCTTTCCTCTCCATCTGGGGTGAGTTAGACATAAAAGAACAGCCCTGATGTCACCAAAGGCTGATGTATTTTTAGGCCTGGCTTCCATCCCAAATGTGCTCAAGGCTGACGGATGGTATAGAAGAACTTGGTGTTGCTCAGGGACAGAATTTGTCTCTCCCTCACACCCAATTAATTCAGGCCAGCTCTACTGTTCCATAACTACAGCTTTAAGGATTAGGCAGGGCCTATGACTCAAAAGTCCAGCTCATCTGTTTTTTTTTTTTAATTACTCCAGAGTGTTAGGGTATAGGAAACTCTGGTGCTACAGTCCATTGAGGTCAGGTTCCTTTGGCACAGAGCATGGCAGAGAAGGGCAGAGAATGAACCTTGGGGGTGGGAGGGGCAAAGTGCAAAAAATAACAGCTCAGTGAGTGTTAGCCCCTGATGCTACCATTCCCTTACACATTGCTTCCCAGGAAGACAATGCTTTGCTGCTATCCATGGCTCAGATACCTAAACACCCTGTGAAGTAGTGGCACCCTAGAGAGGAGACTGATCAAGAAGGGGTTAATTTAAAAGAACTATTTTAAATGACTGTCACCTTGTTTTAACGTCCTAGCCAGTTGGAATGTTTCCTCTCTTTTTCCAGGGTAAGGGGATCAAATTTAAAAAGATTTTTTTTTTCTATGAAGAAACCAAGCCTGCAGGGGTTTATATTCAAAGAGGGATCCAGTCCCTGTTCAATTTGAATTTAAATTCCTTCCTACCTGTGTCCGGTTTCTTTCTTGTCAGGCCTTGTATTTTGCATAGATGTCTAATTAGCCTGGGTTTTCTTTCCCTGTGGCCTGCAGCAGGTTCTTGAAAGCTAAACTTACCTCCTCTGGCTGCCATTGAGCAGAGGAAGAAGAGCCTATGGGTCAGGTTGAGGGCTGAACAAATGAAGTGAGGACCTCAAAGACTGGTTTGTCCTATGCCTGGCTGGCTATCATGCTTCCTACATGTACACAAATGGAATGCTTAACCATGGGTCCTTTCTGATTTTTAGAACCACTTAAATCTTATGTGTGTGGAGGGGAGGGGAGAGAGGTGGGAAGCTATTCATCTGGGCTAGCTCACAATCAACTGAGAATTCATTAAAAGTCCATTTAGCAGAGATGGCAGGTGGGCAGCCACTGCCCGATTGGCATGTGTTTGTGTCTGCAGGGTTACAATTTCTACACCTGCAGTGGCCCTTGGTATACTACAAGTGTTAAGTCACTCAGGTCTGTCTTGAGTGATGCCCTCTCCTTAATGTCACTCCTCATCATCCCTGCTCCCATGGAGAATAAATGCCTCCATTCAACTGTAGCTTCTGGTGACTTCCAGGCAGTGGGTGCCCACCTTACAAGAGCATGTGTGGTGAACCAAAACAGACAGGTTCTGGTAAAAGGAGTTCTGACTTCTGCAAGAATAGGTGGCAATAAGAGGTTTCTGGAGGAGAGGAAACCTTGGGAGGCTAAGGGGAAAATGAAGCTGCTAGAAAGCAGACACTTTATACACTGTCCAACCAATTGCACTAAGAGGGAAGGCCTGCCCCTTCAGAACGTGATAAGGATTCAGTCTGGCATTCACTCCTGGTAGTAATACTAATGTGGAGAAGCTTAAAGACTGTATTTGATCCCAAGGAAGACTGTCAGTGGGGGGAAAAATTGAAGTTTAAAAAAAACTAATAGGGAATGCATTTTGTAAAAGATGGAAGGTATCCCACTTGGTGGCTTAAGGGGAAAGGTGTGCTATTTCTAGAACTCATAATCAATTTCCAACCAGGCCTAGTAAAGCTTTCTTAGCAGACAGGAGGCAGGAAACTTCCAAAAAGTCATCTCTGCCCTGTGTCCTTGGTTTAAAAGCATTATTTTGAGCTGGAGGGGGACTGAAGTTGAAGGATATTTATTACTGGCCTCTCTTTCAAATGTAGAGAGATGCATTTTCAGATTTAATTTTCATTTTGTCTACATATGAGATTAGGCTTTCCCAGAGTTGATCTCTTTTCTAAACACATTGAACCCCCACTGAGTCCTCAAAGCTAACAGCAAATAAACAGTTGCTATGTGTGCACACAAATGATTTAGATTTTCATTATACAAAAGTGCTGATATGTTAGGAGGCAGAAGTAGGGGAAGACAAAATGCTTGGTGTCCTGCACCTTCCTCCCTCTACAGAAAGGAGGACCCAGCAAACAGTATTTGGGGAAGAGTGACATTGAGGCCAGCTGGCATCCATGAGGGCAGCCCCTAATGTTGGCTCCCTTTCATGTAATGCCTCTCCTTCCTGGAGAGGTTGTGGCAACTACAGAAAGGGAACAAAGAAAAGTAGAAAGATCAAGGGGAATAAAGAGGGGTAGATAGAGAGGTAAATATTGGAATTGTTCCAGAGACATGTTTCTGCCCACTGTGGCCTATTAGAATTTCATTTGTGGAACTTAAATTTCTTTCCAAGATATCTCTCTGTATCTTCTAAGTTAAAATATTGCACCTAGACAACATGGTAAAGTGAAGACAGTCAAGGCTTTGGAGTCAGACAAATCAAGGTTTGAACCCCAGACCAAACACTTCTGAGCTATGTGTCCTTGGGGAAGTTACATAACTTCCCTGTGTTTACTAAATTTTCTAAGACAGCATCTCCTATCTGCTGTTGGCCTCCACTCTCCCTGGGAACTATAGAAGACATTTACTATCCAATGGCCCCATCCCTTCCAGTTTGCACAGTGATTTTTAATCCTGGTTTACAATAGAATCCTCTAGAAGCTTTAAAAAAGTTTGATGGCTATGTCTCACCCCAGTTCAACTGAGTCTGAATTTATGGGGGATGCTGGACCATACTACCATATCTCCATTGTTGATATCACCTACTGACTTCCTAGTCATCTCTCATCCATCGAAAACTTTAGCACCTGGCTCACTCTCTTTTTCATTCCAATTTCTGTCAGCCTTTTGTAAACTTCAACATCCATGTGAACCACTCTATCAGCTTGTTGGCCTCTAAGTTCGTTAACTTCCTTACTGCCAGTGATATTTTCCTTCCACCCAACCTGTGCTTTTCCCACTTCTTACATCACCAACAAATGCAACATCACCAAAATCCAGATTTCAAGCATTCCATTCCTGACCAACACTTCTTATCCTTTCAGCTCATGTTCTTTATTATTTTCACTTTGTCAACTCTTTGATTCCTTTCTACTTACCCATTCTAGAGTCCATAGCTCATCAATATAATCACCTCTTAAATAAATATCTTACTCTTTTGCCCCTCATTCACCCTGTCATATATTTGTCCAACAAAACCCTAATCCTGGTTAAATGTAATTATCTGCCTGATCTGTGCTTGCACCAAATTTTTAACCATTGATAGAGAAACACAAGCACTGTCCTTGCACCTTTTCTCTGTCTACACCTACTCTTTTGATGAGTTCATCCAAGCTCATGGCTTTAAATATCTATAATCTTGCTACTCAAAGTGTGAGGTATAGTCTGAAAGCATGGGAGTACATTAGAAATTTAGAGTGTTAGGCCCCACCCCAGACCTACTGAATCAGAATCTGTGTTTTAGTAAGAGTTCCAGGATCTATAACAGTGATTCTCAGCTCTGATTGCAAATTGGAATCAGCTGGAGAGTTAAGACTCCTCTAACACCTAGGCCCAATTTCAAAGGTTCTAATTTAATTGGTCTAGGGTAGGGTCTGGACATACATAAATTTTATGTCACTATGTGTTGTTAATGTGCATCCATGTTTGAGAACCACTGACTAAATATTGATGACCCCCAAATTAATATTTCTAGGCCAAGCTTTTCCTATTAACTCCAGGTTCGTAAGTCCAACTACATATTCTATATTTCTACTTGGATATCTAATAGGCTTGACAAATTGTATATATTACAACCAAGATCCAAATCTTTCTCCCTAAACCTGCTCCTTTTCATTATCCCCATCTTAGTAAAAGGCACCATATTTAGCTGGTTTTCACTCTACCTCTTTGGGGGGCTCTTCTCACTCTTTTCTGACCCTTTGCCTTTGTTCTACCTCTTAATGTTGAAATGCTTCAGGGCACAGTGTTCCTTGCAAGACGCAGAATTGCAGAATCTTCCCAGGTGATCTTATAAAATGAGCTAATGATGCTCTGATTTAAACGCAGTCAGGTTGCTCAAATTTAACTTGTACGAAAGCAAATCACTAGTTTTCTTTCCCCCTTCTCCAACCGGTTGCTCCTGCCAAAAATCTGTAGTAATCTCTGATTTCTTTCTTTCTCTTGGCCCCTACCTCCAATCCATGTGCACTGTCCTATAACTTCTACCTAGAAAATATATTTTTCTCTCTCTACTTCTCTTATCTCTACTGCCATCATTCTAATACATTAATGATTTTTAAAAGTTTTAGAAAACTGGGACTAAAAGGGGATATTATAACCTGATAATAGATAGCTATCAAGTCTTCAGCAAACATCATACTAAATAAATTTTAGAAACATAATTTAAGTCAGAAAAAGACAATGAAAAATATTTAGGTCAATAATAGCAACCAATAACATCAGGCACAAAGACTAAATCCTAGAAAAGATGCAGAGAATGTTACAAAATATCATTCAAGAGCATGGGGAAGGACTAAAAGAAGAGATAAATATGTTACATGGATGAAGACCTGATATCTTAGTCTATCAATTCTCTAAACAAATTTGTAAATTCCATGCAGTTCCAGTAAAGATTGCATCTTTTTTTAGTGTAACTTTACTTGCTGATTTTCACATAAGTATTCAGATATCAAAGCTTAATGCAAAGATATAGTACGTAACAAGTGTAATGTTGACACAGGGATCCACAAATAGACCAGTGGAACAGAATAGAGGATTGCTATGGACTGAATTCTTCCCAAAATTAATATGTTAAAAGTCCTAACCCACAATTCCATAGTATTTGGAGATGTGAGCCTTTAGGAAGCAATTAGGTTTTGATGAGGTCATGATGGTGGGGACCTCATGATGGAATTAGTACCCTTATAAGAAGAAATACCAGAGAGTTTGCTCTCTTTTGTCTTCATCTCCTTCTCCTTCTCCTTCTCCTTCTCCTTCTCCTTCTCCTTCTCCTTCTCCTTCTCCTTCTCCTTCTCCTTCTCCTTCTCCTTCTCCTTCTTCTTCTCCTTCTCCTTCTCCTTCTTCTTTCTCTCTCCCATGTGAAGGCGCAGCATGTCCCCTGAGACTGTTCCTTCAGTATCAGCCTCAGAAGGAAAGAAAACCTGTCCCAGCTGACATGTAGAATTGGGAGAAGAATAAATGCTTGTTGTATGAGACTTGGTTTGATATACAGACAAAACTGAAAAGTAAAATGTTTATGAATACACATACACACACACACTCGCATATCTATCTATGTATACACACATTACATATATATTTGTAATGTATGTGTGTTGCCAGTGGAAGTGAGGTTCTTGTGGTGTTGCAAGAAAAAGCAATTGCTGGGACCCACAAAAGAGGATGAGGTCTGGTGGTAATATTTACTTGTAATGTAAAATCAAAAAGAAGCTCCTTTGATGGCCCATCTCTGTCTATCTGATCTCCATCTGTCCCGCTGTGAAAATCAGGGCCAGAAATAGAGTCTATGTCCAGAGATTCTGTGCCATCTTAAACCTTAGTCCTAGTCTAGCATCTGGCTAGTTTAGTTTACATTACTGGCTGCAATCCATTGCTTTGCTGCTGTACACAGCCTCCCTCCTGGAGCCTGCATGTGAAATCCAAGCAGCCAGTGATCATGTGGCTGCTAAAGCCACATGAGTGTGGAGAGAAAACAGGTGAGCACATGGGACAAGTGTGGGTCAGGAGCAAGAGAGAGAGACAGCTTTTTCTCCTGGGGTTATAAACAGGAGCTTTTTCAAAATAAGCAATTAACTTCCCAAGATTTTTCAGGCTTGCATTGGTTCCACCCCCCCCAGCCAATTATCTTTTTCCCAAGTTAGACTGACAGGCCTCTATGGTGGAACACCTCCCCCCGAGCCAATTGACTTTATCACGTGTGTTTACCTTCCCTTTTGTTCTATCCCTTCCCCCAGTGATCTGCAGGGAATGAACTGGTGGTTCCCAGGGGATAGTGTGAAGCTGTAGCTTACTGGTGAGGCAAACAGGCCCCTCTGCTTCCCAGCTGACCATGCTTAACAATGTCCGACTTTCCCTTTGCTTCCTTTCCTTTCTACAACTAGCTAATTATGGTAGCGTACATAATAAAAACAGGAATATTAAACTAAATTTAGGAGAGTGGTTATTTTTGAGAGAGGGAACAAGGAATCCCCACCCCCTTATTCTGATTAATTTTACTCATTGCATGTGTTTGTTTCCCTCTCCCTCCCATGAAAAATGTAAATTCCACAAAAGCAGGAAACTTCCCTTATTTGTTGACTGCTGTGGGCCAAGCATCCAGTACCTTGCCTGGCACACAGTAGGCACTCACTGAATACTTATTGAAAGTATACAGTCATTTACACATCTGTAAGTAGGGACAATACTACTGGCCTTGCAGAGTTATACTGAGGGTTAAATGAGAGTATGTCTGTGAGCATGCATAGTGTTGAACTTGTCATCTAGGTACACAATTATGTCAGTCTCCTTTCTTTATTTTTCTATTTTGGATCTGCAGTTTCTCTGTTGAACTATCTGAATAACGTATATAACACTCAAGGTGTAGGTTCCACTGCTTCTTAGCTGTGCAATGTTGAACAAGGTATTTAGCCTCTCTCTGTCTTAGTTTCCTTATCTGACAACAATACCTACCTCAAAGGTTGGTTGAGAGTATTAAATGATATAATTATATTAAGCACTTAGCAGAAGGTGTGACACATAGTAAATGCCAAATAAATGTTAGCTGTTTTATTATTATTACTATTGTAATTATTATTATTGCTGTATTACTACTACTACAAAATAGGCAGTTGCTTTGTGGTATAAGTTTAAGAGTATTTGGGACGTTTCTTTACTAAAATAATATGTTCCACAGTAGTCTGTCATTTACATCTTAAATTTTACCATTATGAAATTATTCTTTTGGTTTATGTCTTGTCCATTCCATCTGCTTCTTATAAACTTTATTGGGATTATGCTCTCAACAGTTTAGCTTCATTAACTTTATGTGCTATCTTCGGCAGATGGGCAACATGAGGGACTTGGGTACAGGTTTGGGAGAAGAAGTGAAGGGATAAATTTTAAAGGCAACCTTGGATTACTTACTGCTTTTCCTTAAGCATGGACCTGTTCAGAATTGCTTCTAGTTGCTCTGTCTTAGGAGTCAACTCTCAGCCCGGCTGGGTGTGGCTCAGCGGTTGAGCGTCGACCTAGGATCCAGGCGATTGGGGTTCGATTCCCGGTCAGGGCACATGCCCAGGTTGCAGGCTCGATCCCCAGTCGAGGGCGTGCAGGAGGCAGCCGTTCAATGACTCTCTCATCATTGACGTTTCTATCTCTCCCTCTCCCTCTCCTTTCCTCTCTCTGAAATCAATAAAGATATATTTAAAAAAAAAAAAAGGAGTCGTTTACCAAGGAGACTGAAACTAAAAGAGAATTAAATATAAATTCTGGAATTGAAGAGCTGAATAAGAGAGATGAAGGATGAACTAGCAAGCTTAGGAAATAGAGTTGACCAGATGGAGAAAAGAATTAGTGACCAAATATAGAAATCTAGAAATGACAGATGGAAGAAGANGGTGAGAGTTTGGAAATCTATGAGAAGTTCTTCTGTTAGGGTTCCCAAGTGTTCCATGTTCTGAGACTATTTCTAGCTGTTTTATGTCCCGTTATCTTTCCCCTTTGTTGGGGACCTGCCAAGAGAAACCAACCTCAAATTCACTACACAGGTGTTATTAGCCAGACTTCTTCCTGAGCCTGGGAATAATATCCTTAGCTCTCCTGTTTAGAAGGCTGTATTATTTAGCTCATATCTCATTTTATGGACATGTGTTTAGAACTCTTTGAAGTAAATTTGGGAGTGATTATAATCAATGTGTAGGCATGTGCAAAGGTTTGTGAAAATACCTATTCCTAATTGATTTCTTTTTAAAAACAATCTTATTAAAGTATAACTTAAACATCATAAAATTCACCTGTTTTAAGTGTACACTTCATCTATTC